ACAACTGACAGCCTTCTGTTGTTTGTGTTCAAGTATAGGAACCAAGTCACTGCAGACAAGAGATGATTAGAAGATTTAGAAGGAATATTATGCAAGATCTCTGAAAGTAGTTAAAAGGTACAGGTACATGTAGTTGATACATGTAGACATGCCAAGTTATACATTTTCCAAAATAAATACTTACATGTAAGGTAAGAAATTTCTTTCATTATATCATTATGTTGTGACTGTCTACAATTACATTGTATTTAGGAAAATAATGCTTCATGAAATTGACACGCATTTCAAAAATTCATGTTCATTTAAGTGGTGTTAATTTAGTATGTTAATTTTAATTTCTGCGCTGTTAATTAAGTTGGACGATAATTTCCGCGACGTTAATTACCATTATTTTCCCCCAAATCTTGACACACTCCAGACTTTCTTGACACAGACAAACAATAAATTTTATTCGCACAATTTACATTTCACATCTCAGTCTTTCACATTAAGAAATCGTTTACTGTACTTCAACTGAATTTCTTCATGTTCGCTCTCAGCTTTACAGTGTTAAAATAAATTTGTTCCTGTTCTCAACAAATTCTGTTTTGTTTTTTTTTGGTGTAGCAGACGTGTTAATTTCCCTCATTTTGAAATTTCACCCTCTCTCTTGCATTAATTTCCTTTATTGGGAAGCAAATTTACCTTTAATTTACGTTAATTTAAGTCGCACTAATTTCAAATACATTCCTATAATGAGGTACTAAATGCGTTATGCTAATTACATCAATAACAAGCATGTACTGTGTAAATCTGAGTTTAACAGACTGACTTAAAAACTTATTATAATTCTTAATTAGTAAATTTTAAATGTTGCCTGCAACAAATAAAATGGCAGATCATCCAACCACAGGCAGTAATAAGCATATTACTGTCATCCATCTTAGATCTGATGAATAGTTTCTTTTCGCTNCAAATAATTATTATTAATTAAAAAATGTTAGAAATGTACACATTAAGTTTTTTGACTTGTACTGTAAAAGTGTGGAATATTTCCACATATGTCTGTGACTTGCCTTGATAATGTGTACACTTTCACTGAATCATCCTGTAAATACATCACAAAAGAAAGCAAAGCTCATTTTAAGAACAAGCAGTTTTTAAAAAGAACATTTTACAGTGTAAAGATTGCTTATTCTGATCAATTCAACAAATAAATATTATACCATGGTAACTACATGACATAGAATTATTTATCATATCAAGGGACCATAGGAACATGGACATTATTTCCTTTAAAGTTAGAGTACTTCATTATTTGTGTGCCAAGAATGAGATTATAGATCTATGTCATGACGAGACGCAGGTGGAGTAACTGATTTCTGAATTAATTAAGTTGCAGTTCACTGGGTAATTTTAAAAAATTTCTGTCAACAGAGACAAAACTCTTTCTGACAGTACTTCACTACTGGTAATTTTAATGCCTATTGCTTCATACATGTAGACGTTGATTTTCTGACAGATTGACCTTCAAATATGAAAGGAATGCAGGGATAACTACCCCGCATTCCTTTGAGGCACTTCCAGATAGACACCGCTGCGTCTCGTCATGTAATAACATTTTTGAAAAAGTGTACAAAATTTAATTTTTTTAAACACATACTTGCCATGCCAGAACAAACTTAGCGACATGAGGGTGCCAGGCAAATGCCCTAATGGGTGAGTTTTTCCTGCAAAAAGGAACAAAATTTAATTATCATAATTCTTGATAAGAATACATGTACAGTATAGTATCGAATGGTAATAAAATTGTACATGGTATAGACCTGTATGCTGACCACTACCTACTGTACATCAGGGGTTTCTGGCACCAGGAAAATTGACCAGCTGTGAAAGCGATTTTGCCCACCTGGTTTGAACATCTGCGAGAAGTTTTTTGTATAAAGAAGTTCAGTTCAAAAAGATTTTCCTGCCTGTGAAAACCAGTTGCCCTTCTGCTGAAAATGTCAATGAAGCCGCTGGTACAGTACAGATGTAGGGATCCCATCCCTCAAAACCTCCTGATGTTTAAAATGAACAAGTTTATCGCATAATGTTACAACTTACTAGATATCTTAGAAGAAGGTTTTTTTAATAATTAAATATTAATTTTATGATTTATATTTACCAAGATGACACAACAGAGAAGACATTAATCATTTCTTCTCTAGACAACTGCAAAAAAAAAAAAAAAGAACAGAATTCTTAGTTTATAAACAAGGATTGCAGTGGAAGAATACCATGCTCCATGTAGCAGTTCTTCTAGATGGGTAACCAGCTGA